TGTATTTCTCCTTAGGAACTCAATCATCTCCTCTTGTTCGGCTACAGGCATCGCGGTTCCAACTAAGAAGTATCTTTTTTCTTCTCCCTCCACCAAGGGCACCATCCGGAGGTCCTCCACCTACCGCTCAGTTGGGTCTATCCGGGGGTCATCCATTCCTGGACACCCGGACTGTAATTGATATTTTTCCATGATCTCTTCCGGTGCTCGCCCCTTTTCTTGGGTGAACGCCCAGGCTCTAACAGCTGAATAAAAACAATTTTTTGCGGATGCTTGGTCCCCCCGGATCTCCATGATACCTTCTGGCGTGGCGAATTTTAGTTTCTGGTGATAAGTGGAGTGCACCGCTTCCAACGCATGCAGCCATGTTCGTCTCATGATCACGTTATAGGGAGAGTCCATATCAATCACGACAAACTCAGTGTTGATGATGAAGGGACCCGTGACAACGGGCAATGTGATTTTGCATACGGGCAGGGCGAACGAGCCGTTGAATCCGATGAGGGTGTCCTGACCTTGGTGAGGTCCTTGAGGCCAAGACCCATCTGTTTTAAAGTCTCAGAGTACATCACTTCCGAGGAACTTCTGGAGTCTATCAACACCCTTTTGACGTCGAATTTACCTATCTTCAGGGTTAAGACAAGGGCGTCGTTATGAGGAGTCACCACGCCTTCAAGTCCGCGTCGGAGAACGTGATGCTGGGCTCACCAGTCCTGGCCCTTTTACTGGGTGGCCCCCCCATCATCCTCGGTTATCTTCCTTGTAAAAGCTACCCTCTTGAGATGGACTCGAGTTCCTTGGACGTGGGGCGATCTAGGGACATACGTGGATGACATCTATGACGTTGTCCGGCTCCTCGGACGGGGCAGGGGTGTGTCTCTCTTCTGGCCTGGGCTCTATGTATTCTTTCAAGTATCCGTCTCGAACCAATCTTTCCAAGAACGATTTGTATACCCTGCAGCTTTCGGTGCGATGTCCGAAAATTCCAGTGATAGGAACACCTAACCTTTTGATCACGGGTGGAGGGATCGCTCTGCATCCTGGGCGGCCACTTGAAGAACGGCTCATGCTTGATCTTATGGAGCAACTTGAAGATAGGTTCCTTGAACATAGTGTGAACTCCTTTGAACGACCCCCCTGGAAGGGGTAGCAGTCCCTTTCGAGGAGTATCCTCCCGCTCCCTCTCTTTTCTCTTAGATTAGAGGGTTCGGTCTTTGCTGCTTCCCATCTCGTCCTCGATCCTTGAGTATTTATTTATCCGGGCCATCAGCTCGCCCATATCCGAGGGAGTCTTCTTGGTCAGGGATCGGTACAGGTCCGTGTCCCTTGCCAAGCCGAGCCTGAAAGACGTCGTTGCCATGACTTTCGAGCAGCCTTCTACCTCATTGACCTCTTCCCAGTACCGGATGGCATACTGGCGAAGGGTCTCAGATTCCCTACATCTGAGCATTAGCAATGATCCAACGTCTTTAGGCCGCTTACTCCCCGTAATAAATCGAGCCAGGAACTGCCTCGTCAATTCCTTCCACAATCCAGTGCTGTGGGGGGGAAGCGCCTCGAACCACTTCATAGCAGAGTCCCCCAAGCTCATAGGAAACACTCGGCAGAGGAACTGTTGATCTGAATGATAGAGGGACATCATCTGCTTGTATTGCCTGAGATGGGCTTCGGGATCGGACCGTCTGTCATAAGTTTTGAACCTCAGCACGACGAACTTTCTTGAAACCTCCATCTCTCCGATCTCCCTGGTAAAGGGTGTTTGTATGACCTCGTCTTCGACCACATCTTGGACAGCCTTACTCTTTCTCCTGGATTCCAACCGGGCTCTAAGATCAATTTTCTCCCTGATGGGATGTCTTCTGAAGTCCTTGAGTTCATCACTAGGCCCCCCATTTCCTGGGCGCCGTGTGGATAGGGTAGAATCCTCCTCGGACTCATCTCCCTTCCTCCGTCTAGATAATCCTCGTCGGAGGTCGTCCAGGGCTAATGGCCTTGTCTTCCTTGAATGGTCGTTAGGAGGGTGTTCGTTGGCTCTCGGTCGCTTTGGGGCCCTGGAGCTTTCTGCCTTGTTGTTTAGATGATTCCTTAGATCCTTCGTTTTCGCCTCCCGGGCGGGGAGCCCACGAGAAAGGAATGAGTCCCTCGACCCTTTGCCGGAGGCGGCAAATTCATTGAGCCGGCTTAGAACGTTTACATTGTCCTTTTCCAGTTGTCGTAATCTATCGCCAAACTTTTCTTCGATCACCTCCGCCAGCTGACGAGCCAAGGGGGCTGATCCTCCTGACCTGATTCCCATACTGGTTTGAGGGGTAACCCCTCTTGACTGAGTAGAGGCATTTTTATTCCCATCAGTGTGATCCCTCCTTGCATGGTGACAGGGAGCTTGTAATTCGAGACTTCTTTGGTGGGGACCTTTCCCTTTTTGTCGAGTGTTCACCATAGTCACTGTTCTTTATAGAGAAAAAACTAGGAAACTAGTCGTTTTCCACAAACGACGCCAGATTGTGCGTGCTGGATGTTGCACAATATAAATACGAGAACAGATCTCTCCCTTGGTGAACTCGAGTGAGTCAGTCGAGTGGTCAACCCCGCTGCTTGGAACAGCTTGTGAGGTCTGGTGGTAACCTGAAACAGTAATGGGAGACCCTCATGGATCAATGGAACGATCCATTAAGGCTGAAGAAAGGTTCCTGGAACAAAGAAGAACAAGTTAGAAGGGCGCTGAAGTGTTTTCCAGCGTATCCCCTCCGACGATCAAGTCAGTTTTTGAGAGAGAGGAAGAAGAAAACACTGAGTATAATTTGTAGCAAAGGTTTCACCTTGTTTGTCTTGCCTTTTGTGAGGAGTATTTATACCTCAAATACTCATGATTGCTGTCAGTGTGGTCAGTAGGTGATCATTAGATACAGGCAATGTGCGCACTGATTCCTACGAGGAATGTCTTCTCTTTTAACTGCTCGGGACCCTGAGCAATCAAGACTGTGTCATCGGCCTGTCGACGGTTCAATGAACTCCTCTCTGCAAGGATGTAATAAATGTCCAGTCTTAGAGACATTTATTACCTTTCACTTCCGAGCCTTACTGCATTAAATGTTGTCTCATCAAAGGAATGGTATAATTAAATGCTTGTTTTCCCAAGTCGTATGTCAGCAAGAGCATCCGGTCTTTCTGTCTCTGATGTGACACTATGCCACGCGTCCATTTCCCATTGGCTGTGTCCCCTGCCCTCTGTGCCTTCTAACACCAATTGCGTAAGACGAGGTCATGATAGCTAACCTAGCTTAGCTTAGGCTAGTGACCTGTACATCAATAGCCTCTGTTGGAGCAGAGAACGGCATCCTGGACGAGGGGGTACATCTCGGTACCGAGGAAGAGGTACATCTCGGAGCCGAGAGGGGGAGGCCTAGCGACCGATGTACCATATCAGACCGAGGGGTACATGTCGGTACATAAAAACGTACTGGATGCTACTTGATCCCTATGATAAGTACCTCGTGGGAAAGGGAACTTGTGAACCGATGGGTATGTGATCTTGGTAACAAGGATTAGTGACACCGATGACACGTATCTTCATCTTAGAATATTTCGAAAATGTCTCATCAAATTATTACTGTGCTCCCTTCAGACTTTGACTTGAAAAGTTCCTCAAATTGTGGACTGACATTCAGAGAGGCTTGTAGAACTGAAGGAGACAAAGCTTTCAACACTGATGTTTTCCCAGCTAATGCCCAAATAATGGTCTACAAAAGAATTGGGAAAAAAAATAATAAACATCTATGCATAAAATAAGAATGGTTTTATAGGAAGTGGATTCCAATAAATACCAAAATATACAGTTAAATCAATAACAACGATTGATCAAGTTAATATTTTACGTCCAGATAACATTTTCCTTTTCGAATTTTCAATTTGCCTCTTTAGAAATTTAAGATGTCACCTCAATTACATCTTGAACATCTAAAAGTGGCAGCCACTTGGCCCTTTTTGTCCCAATTTGGGAAATAAATTTGTCAATAGAAAGGATGAAAATGGTAATGTAGTTATAATTTGAAAAAATAAATAATATTACAAAATTTAAATGAAACCCAAAAAATTACAACTCAAATACATATCATCGCTTGAATAAATGAGTTCTATTAATTCTTTCAATGGGATCCACTGATCCAAAAGATAATATTCATTTAAATTTTAACTTTTGAGTTTTATTTGAATTATGTAACATTTTTCTTACAAAAATTTGAAGTACAATTTGAGTCTTTTAATTCGGGAGAGTAAAGTGGACATTTTATAGTCCTTTAGCGACAAAGTGCCACTCACCCAACTGTATTTAGGATAAAACTTGAATTAGATGGGAGACCTTTGTAAGTTTCTAAAGAAATTTATGTTATGTATGGTTGAGTAAATTTTTTTTCCTAATGAATAATCGTCTCACAACTACATCTCTTTAAATTAAGTACTTGCTGAACCACACACATTGGGCAACAAATAGTTGTGGTTAAATTATACTTTCACCTCTGAAGTATCACCTTTTTTTCACTTTACCCCTCAATTAAAAAAATTCTTACATTACACCCTCAATGAACACTCTTACTTCACATTGCCTTATTCACATACTTTTATTATCTTTTGGACAGAAATCATTGTAATGTTTAAGTAAAGTGAAAAACATTATATAGTTTGGGGGGCAAAATAAAATAAATTTTCATTAAATATGAAATGGACGTTAATAATTGCAACAATGCAAAACTAATTACATGGTTGATGGTGTAATGTGAAAAATCTAATAGTTGAGGGGACAAAGTGAAAAAGGGTGATAGTTCACTTGGTGTAAGTATAATTTATCCAATAATTGTACTTGAATTTCAAACCCCAGATGCTAATCCTAAAGAGTTCCCGTTCCAGTTACTCTAGATAGATTTTTAAATATTTTTGAAAACTTAGGATTTTCATAGACGTTAATTACTAAACTATTGTGCTATAATGCATAATTAAAATGGTACTTACTTCGAAGATGTTAGGATAGAGAAACACTCCATTCCTTCTCCTTCTGCAATTACTGAAACAGTGACGAATTTGGGTACAACAAAAAGCCTCCCTGCCAGCACTTTGGTGTCCAAAGCATTCTGACCATTAAACCCCACCATTTGAACCCTTCCACTGCCACTGCTGACATAAACCATTTGGACTGATGAATCTGCTGTGTACATGGGAGCCAACATGGCATTAGCTTCCAATTTTGCAAGACTTGCACTGAGTCCGACCTGTCCAAGCACCAGAAAATTCTCCGATGTGATCAAAGAGAGCAATCCGTCATTCTTCACCGCAACATCTGGTACAGCTTCATCAATGTTGGCAACCAATCCCTCTTTGGTATTGTCCTTGCATGGCTGAGGCATGTTGATTTCTGTTTCATTTAGTAACTTTTTTTTAAAGAAACATTTTAAACGAAATGTATTTTTGTTAAAAATAAATAAAAACATATTTAATTTACTATCTAAGAAAGTGATCTACATGTATCTTCGTATATAAATGAAAAAAGCAAACATTTTTTTGAAAAAAGTAACTGAAAAATCAAAAAGATTAAGAAAAATGTCATCGAACGATCCTGAATACATCTTTGTATACAATGAAAATAAATAATTTAATCGGAAAATTCTATTAAAATAAGTAACTAAAATACTTAGATAAAAATTATCAAATGGTACCTTCTTCAAGTTTAACAATCAGAACACCGGTTTGACTGTTCACGAGCAAGTGAGCTTTTTCTTCATTTATGTTATACGCTCTGCTGACAAATTCAGTTGATAAACCCCGCAGGATACTTATGGTTCCTGCCAAGAAGAAATAGGTGAATTGGCCAGGTGTATAAGCCTTGGTAGTGTCACCCAAGAAGACAATGACCACGTCCGAGTCTCCGCCGTTGAACCACCATGAGACGGCTCCCAGTGGAAACGGAATTGCATCCCCTTGTTTATTATCAACACATTTTCTTTTGAACTGTTGGTGATGGACACAAGCCCCGTGTATACTTGGTCCAGGTCGAAATATGCAAGTCGGGTAGAACTCAAATTTAATTCTTCAATTATAAAACTAGAGTTTGAATAAATGTTCAACCCAGGATGAACTGAATTCACTAGTCCCGAGAATCTGAAACCCCCAACTCAAATATTGCTCAAAATTAAATCGAGTTGGGATTTCCAGACCATATCCCACCCAATGGATGAAAGTCGAACAACCTTAAATAATTGTCAAAGTTAGATACCCTGCATGCAATACATATCTTTCCATTTTTTTAATTAGTGGATTCTTCACTCTAAATTCATGTGGTATTTATTGTATATAAATAAATATTTCACTCACTAACAGTGGATGATTTATTAAGAAAATAAATACAATAAAAAAAACTGGTGGACATTTAGATCCAATGACTGCAACATTATGACATGAAATACATTAACAACATTATGAAAGGAAGAAGACTACATTGTCCATTTCAAAATAATAATTGTTTAAGATCAAGTTAATTATAATTTTTTTTGGTGAGTTATAACTGCAAAGAGCATAATTGATCACAAAATATTATACTCGATCATCAATATTTTAATTTTTAAAGGTAAATTTATAATTGAATAGGGTTAAATCATTACTTGACTTTTAAAAAACTATATATAGTCTGACTTTTAATAAATAGTACTGGTATTAATTTTTTTTTTGGGTAACAAAATTTGACTAAAAAATTACAAGTATATACTAACAAAGTTAAGTTTAATCATGATAAAAAGCATTAAAAGATTTAAATTTAAATTATTATATGTAACAGTAAAGCCAGCTTTTAACTAGCTTAAATAAAAGCAGAACGAAAAAAAAGAGAATACACATTCTTTCAAATCTAAAAATCAGTATAGAATTGAATTCTAAGTTAAATTTCTCAGTTATTTTCTTTTAATGTACACGATCATCCGGTCTATAGCAAAATAATCCTCTATCGTATTGAGAAATTGATTACTTAAAATAACATGAAATATTGTTTCTATTAGGGTATTTTATTGGGTAAAAAACTAAAAAAAATCCCTTGAAATAAGTCTCAGTCTCACTTTACCCCATATAATTTTACGGATTGCACTTAACTATCTCCAACCTAAGAACAAACTGTAAATCTAACAGAATCTGTTTATTATATTGGAACGGTAAATGCACATACTAATTAAGCGTGTATTATAAAATAAAAAAAAATTCTAAATTAAAAAAATTAAATTACCAATTATACCATTCATCCTCCTCTCTCTCGCCTCTCTTTTTCTTTCTATCCAGACTTGAAAATTCATTTTGACTTATCAAATGACTTATTTTCTCAAATCTATAGTCTTTTTTTAACTCTTTGATCCCAAATTGTTAGATTCAACTCTCTTTTTAAAGTTTTAACTAGTTTTTCAAAGTTTTGGTTGTCAAATTTTTAAACCCTAGTGAGTTTCTTTACCACACACACATACCTCGGTCATGGCTCCCAAGCACTCCAATACACTATAGCACAACCTCATAACACAACTCAAGCCTCAATTGAGGAAGAAAGGGTCGTCTGGTATGTAATTTATATGAAAATTCATAACCACCTTAAACTTCAAACACAAATTCAAGGGCACACACAAAACATAAAACTTAAATCTAATCACACCAATGAAATTCTCATAAAAAAACAAGTCTGATCAGGTTGATTTTATGTATCGGAAGCCTCTAAATCAAAAATTCAAAACTCTCTCTCTCTCTCTCTCTCTGGCCTTCTGTACAGCTTGCAGAGGAATTTTGTGGGGTGTAGTGTTGGGGTTACACCATGGTGGTAGAACAGTGCTAGTTGCAAGTTTTATTTTTTAAAGATAAGAGTGACGGAAGGATTTGTATACAATGAAAGATCCCTACATGGTAGATGATTAGTCATGAAAAAATAAGTCTGATGAGGTTGAGTTTATGTATTGGAAGCCTCTAAATCAAAAATTCGAAATTCTTTCTCCTCTTTCTCTCTCTCTCTCTCTCTCTCTGGCCTTCTCCACAGCTTGCAGAGGAATTTTGTGGGGGGTATAGTGTTGGGGTGCCACCATGGTGGTAGAAGAGTGCTACTTGCAAGTTTTTTTTTTTAAAGATAAGAGTGACGGAAGGATTTGTATACAATGAAAGATCCCTACATGGTAGATGATTCGTCATGAAAAAATGCATTAGAGGGGATATGTACATCTTAATTACCTCCAAATAGATGGATCAGGTCACATACCTTGAAGAACATAACCGATCTTGGTAGAATCTGCATTGTGGGGCAGAGCAAAGCCACGAGGGTGCAGAACAAGCTTGCCAGCACCAAGCTTAGTCTCACGCAGCAATGGAGATTTGGAAGTTGACCAACTGTAATACCCACCACCATCTCCCTCAAATACTGTCTGGTTTGCCTCTTGTGGTACCAAATTCAACTCCATTGGCTCTGTGTGTGTGTGTGAGAGAGAGAGAGAGAATAGATGAACTTAATATGAAACTCTATTGTTGTGAGGGAGAGGAAGTGCAGGCTATGAAGAAAGAGATGATCGGTAGTTAAAAAACTAATGCCGTGGTACGCATGGCTCACATCTTCTCTTGAAGAGATTGGAAGGAACTTTTCCATCCATACCAAGGAACACCCTTGTAATTTTTAATATTACATTGCTTTCCCTTTTGATTTGGGTTTTTATTTTGAAAAATGATACACAACGCAAATGGAATCTAAAAATTGTAATTCAAATACATATCATCACTTAGATGAGTGGGTCGCACTGAAAAAATTGATAGTACTCACTCATCCAAGGAATGATATAAATTTGAATTATAATTTTTTAAATTTCATTTGAGTTGTGTAGCATTATTTTTTTATTTTACTTTAAAACCCTACTTAATCTAACTATCAGCAAAATAAAATAAAACATTCTCCAATTTTTTAAAAGATTCATACAATTCTACGTAAAGAAATAAAAAACAAAACATATAACACTAGACATTTTTTTAGAACAATATCAACTTTGTGGGTTTATCCTGTCAAAGTTGGGTTATTTATTTTTGACAGTACTAAACTAACTTGTTTAGAATTAGGTAAATTGAATTGTCTCATTTTTGAATTTGTGTCAAAAGTTTTTCAGCACTAAACCGCTAATTTAATTTTGGATGTGTGGTGTTACATTTGGATGGTTAGGGTGGCGATCTTTGACACTAAAATAAGACATTGCAATGATTCAATACACACATACAATGATTAATTATATACATATATATATATATATAAAGAGAGAGAGAGAGAGAGAGAGAGAGAGAATTGAAAACTAGACAAAGAGCTGATCTGGGGTCGACAAAGGCGGTCGGAAGGGAAGTAAAATGAAATCTGGTTCGAGTGTCGAGAGGAAGAGGATTGTTTTAATTTTTGGTTTGATTTTGAAGAGGTTGGGAACTATTTTGAACAGGCTCTAGGAAGTGTTTATAAAGAGTAAAAATTCAATGTAGCAGTAATATTATATCATCACTGACCCAAAAAAAAAATCATCACTGATCATGTAGACTTAGTGAACCCTGCTCAGGTTAGGTTGTTGGTTTTATAGAGTTGATAATTAACACTAATAACATAAGTTGAAAGATAGGAAAATAATAAAAATATGACACAAAGATTTATAATGAATATACATATTAGTACACTATACCTATATATATGGACCAAACTTACATCGATATATTTATTTACTGAAATCTAGTTATTTGGTAACTGATTACATAATATTCAATTCTATTTTTTAGGGATAAAATGATGTAACTCAATACAATTTGGATGCTGTCAAATCTCTATGTCCCTATCAAGTCACTAATATACCTATACATGATTTATTAAGACTTTTTCAATACATTTCATATTCAATTCAAGATTCTTATATTAATTACTCAGTAAACACTCTTCATGCCAATTACAGAATTTGAGTGAAATTCCAATAATCTCTCATAAACTAAACTCTTCAAATTTAGTCATTCTCAATATGGCACTCTTGATTGTGATCCACCAATCTTTTCAAGCATTGCCCGTAAACCTGCTCTTCTAAGTCGCCACAATCTTCTTTATCTTTCAAAAACATGCACTCTAGCCTGCATTATTTGTGCATTTCTGCCCATGTTGTACTTATTCTTGAGAGATCTTAATGGTCAATATTTCACTATTCAAAGATAAAAGGCCAATAACTCATAAACTACGAGACACTATATCATCATTATTGAGTTTATGTTAGCCCAATAGTTGCGAAAGATGTGCGTTTCAATTTGGGACTGTTACACAGTCTCATATGCCTTTGGAGACAAAATTCTTATAACGGAATTGGTACAATTTCAAAGACTATTAAGATTGTTTTTTAATTATTGAAAGTATAAGGGGTGTCCTTAAACAGCGTGCCTTGAAAACATATCAAGATATAATTGGGATTGATGGTCCATTCAGTGTCAGAAATGGCATTGTACCATGTCCTTCCCTTCTGTTGTTTTGAATTGAAAAACTCCACGCTTTTTTCTTTTTTCGGCAAGTAAATAATTACACTTGTTACATTCTAATTGATTAAAAAAAATATAGTATAAAAAAAATATTATTGGGTACCGTAATAGACTCTACATTGCAATGAGACTATATATGTTTCATTCTATTATAAGCTTAAATCAAGGATGGTATTTATAATTATAATACAAAATTTATGTTTAAATTAGAAAATACTATAATAGTGTATGATATTAAATTGAAAATTATAAAATAAATATTGACGATAAGAGTTTATATAATAAGTAACTTTTATACAAATGTGTAGATCTAGGTTTGTAAGGATAATAAAATATATTGTATTTTTAATACTAAAATTGTTAAAAATAATAACACCTACTACATGGTATTCATTAATACCTGATATTAGGTGTTAAATGACTATAGAAAACCGAGTCGGAATTAATGAGAAATTGATGTCGAGTCGTTATGAACCCAATTCAAATTTAGTATTACATTATCATTATCAAATTAAATTAATCTAATTCAATCTCTTAATACATAAATCAAACGAGCACTGATCATGAAAACAATAAAACAAAATAACACATTAAATTTTTTTATATCAAAAAATAGGAATAGAAGAAATTTCCACCGGCTAATATATAATTTTTTTTTATGTTTTAAGTGTGAGAATTGTATTAAGATTTAAGATTAAATTATTATATAAAAAATAAGATTAATATCAATCATATATCAACATGAAACATGAAGTTATTTCAAATCTAAAAAAATCTTCCTATACTTGATACTATGCTAAAATTTCAATTATATCTATTGAATTTATACAATTTAAGTATTTCTGACGGTTTCAAATAGACTCATCTAACGACCATCAACATCTCACTCAAAACAATTCATATTAAATTTTCCTTCCAAATCCATCATTTTTAACTTACCGTGCTTTCAGGCATATGTTACCCTTAGTCTATAATAAAAAATATTGCAGGCTTACAAGTCCATTTGACGATCTCAAATAGACTCATCCAACGGCCACCAACATCCTTCTCAAAATCATTCACATTACACTGTGTCTTTAGGCACATATTATCTCTAATCAATATATAAACAAAAAGTTGAGCATGGAAATATACCCGAGGACCCTGTAATCGCTTCCATTATACTTTTGCTTAATCAAAACCCGAGTCTAGTTACCCATCTTTGAAATTGGTACATGTAACGTATGATTAATGTGATTAACGATTTGAAAAATATATTTTGAATGTGGGGTATTTGTGGTATGATACACGATGTCTTTGCACATTTCTCCATTTGCATTACTTAAATAAAATTTGATTGGCTTCTCAAAAAATATTATATACAAACAACCACCATGTCATGATGTTCAATTATATACAATTAGAATATATATATATATATATATATATATATATATATATATATATAGTTTATTTTATTTTATTTTTTATTTTTTGGAGAGGGAGAGGAGAGAAAGACTTGAATCTTTGACCTCAAGAAAGAAAAACTTTCACAAGATAAAGAATACCATTAGATCAAAGGTCCGTTGGTAATTATAATTTTTATAATCAAAGTGATCATGTCCATTATTTATAATTCTCAATTGTAATCTTTTTCTTTCAAAAAAAAAACTGCTATCGTTCAACATTAAATTAGACATGATTAATTAATATGAAGAATTTTAATTTGACTTAGTTTGGTGATTTAATAATGTGTCAAGTCACAGAGCTTCGACCTAAATTTTTTTTTTTTTTTTGGTAATTCATATAACATACAATAAACATACTTACAAAAAAGCAGAAGAAACACTTTCTACTATCCAATGCCTTCTCGAACTTCTTTTTGGATCAGCTGCAACACTTTTTGTGAAGGATTCAAAAATCAGTCTAGGGGAATACTCCAACTACTGGTTTGATGAGCTATCAAGTGAGCCAATTGATTAGCTGTTCTCTTAACAAAGAGAAATTGAAATGAAGGGAGCTGTGTAGACACCTACCATATATCCCTTTGTATTGGTTCAACTTCCCTCAAAGACTCAGGAAGCCCTTTTACCAATGAATCAATGAGAGTTTTGGAGTCACTTTCAATAATCACATACCTCCAGCCTTCAGTCTTTGCCATATTACTCGCCTTTCTTATCGCCCAAGCTTCAGATGCCAACGGAGAGGCAACACACATCTTCCCCAATGAAGCAGCAACAACCTTTCCTGTATGATCTCTAGCCACAGCTGCATATGCACCTTTCTTCCTTTTTGCAGAAAATGCTTCATCACAATTTATCTTCACCCAGCCATGTGGTGGGGTAGTCCAGGTTTCTGCAACCATCTTCTTACTTTGGTTATTAGCCCCATCCCCTCTGAGTTGTTGCAATTCCGTTACTGCCATCCCTGTTTGTCTGACGACAGTCATACTATCCACGGGCTTCAAGTTAAAACACCAATTAATTCTGCCCTTCCAAATAAACCACAATAAATATGCAATGAAGGATCTACTCTCTTTATCACTCCAACCTCCCCCTTGCCCACTTTGTAAATGGTCCATCAACCAATTCTCAATCCTAATAACTTTGAACCTATCCACTTAATTTCCAGTGGAGATTTGCTCCATACCTCAACCACCCAAGGACACAAAATGAAAAGATTTTCCAGTGTTTCCTCTTCATTTCCACATACCGGACATAAAGGAGATTGACATACTTTCCTTCTCCATAGATTTTGTCTTGTCGCCATAGCTCCCACCGCCACCTTCCACATAAAGGAATTAATCTTTGGCATTGGTTCAATCACCCATATCATCTTCCAGAAACCATCTGTTGGTGTAAAAGATGAAGAGGCTTGCCCTCTGTTCATCTGAGTTTCACTTAGTCTCACCTCCAAGTGGTATCCACCCTTCATTGAGTATTGAGTAGTA